ACATTCGATGATGTATACATGATTATAACCTAGTCGGCTGGTTATAACCTAGTCGGGTGGTTATAACCTAGTCAGATGGTATAACGAAAAACGTTGGGGACCCCAAATAGGGGTGCGCCCATATATATATATATATATATATGATATTGAATCTTATGCGCTATTTACTATTACAGTATATAATGTATGTTCTATATAATATTACAGTATATATTATAAAAAAATATAATATACATTATATATTAAAAAGTACATACTATCTGTTAGATCTTAGTGAGTCGAAAAACTATGATATATGGTATATATCTTACCTTACTTCCAATCTAAATATAGCAAGTTATATAATATTTACTATACATTCCGTATTATCTACTGTATGTTGTGCATTATTAATGAAATATTATGTATCACATATTAGATATGATACACTATATATATGTATATACTATATATTAAATGTATTATATATTATATGTTATATACTATATATTACGCATTCTACAATATATTTTGTATATACGTATATACCTATTGAATATTATTTGATATATTAGCTATGTTGTATGTTGTGTGTTATACATTGTATGTTGTATGCTATATGTTGTATACTATATGTTATACATGGTATGTTATATGTTATATACTATATGTTATATGTTAAAACATTATATGATATATGTTACATGCCATATATAAGAAAAACTATGTGTTATATATACTATAAACTATAAATGACATATTCTATGTTATATGTCGCATGCTATAAAACATACATTCTACATTACATACTATATGCCGCACGTTTCCTGAAGTAACTGTCTCTTACCCCAGACGAGGCGCCATGAGCATAGCAGCGGTGGCCACGCGATCGATGCTCCAGTTTTCCCCATTCTCATCCTTGCTCCTTTGCTGCCGTCGGGTTTGGGGGTTAGGGTTCAGGGTCTTGCATCAAACAAAGCATGGATCTAGGACATTTTCAGGTGGGTAGTTATCGTTATAGGAGCCTTATAGAAGGTCTACCTTATAGAAGCCTTATAGAAGCCCTATATACCCTAAACTCCCCACCTGTAGTTTCCTTTAGCTGGACATGACTGGCCAGAAGAGACTCAGCAGTCAACCGAGTCGACTGAAACGGCTATCCTGGATCCTCCCAATCAAGTTCATAACAGGGGTTTAGGGGTTTAGGGGTTTAGGGGTTTAGGGGTTTAGGGTTTAGGGTTTAGGGTTTAGGGTTTAGGGTTTAGGATTTAGGGTATGGGTAGTTCTCTAAATTAGGGTCCCTTTTTAGGGTCCCCCAATATTATACGGCACCCCTTATAATCAAGACCCCTTAAAGGGACCCTAATTTAGAGAACTACCCACATCCCAAAACTCCAAACCTTGAGACATTGCCCTGCCGAAGCTCCTCATCATGCGCCGCAATGCCGAGTACTTTGGCTCCTGCTTTACCAGAAACCTTAAGGAGCTGTCCCAACGTACCGCACCTTCGATTTTTCAAAAATCAGTTTAGCTTGTTGGAACACAGGCTGTTAGGAAAAACAAGAGGGCATGCCTCCGGGATGGCCTTCACATGTCCTGGGACAGAACTCGGAAGCTTTATTTCAAACGCCGGCCGTGAACAAGACTTCATACGTTGGCTTCCCTCTTAGATGACTCTTAGTACGACGAGTCATCCATACTCCCAAAACCTGATTACGCCCATGCTACCAGCCCATCCACTGGCTCCACGACACAACGATGACAACATCCATGCTACCAGCGCACCCATGCCCCAACGATGATAACTCTCATGCTACCAGCACATCCATGTCCAGTGCATCCATGCCACGAAAATGTTGACGTACATGCTACCAGCCCATCCGTTAGTCACTGCATCCATACTCCCAAAGATGATAACCTGATAAGGTCCATGCTACCAGCGCATCCGTTGGCCAGTGCATCCATGCCACAACGATGACAACATCCATGCTACCAGCGCATCCATGCCCCAACGATGATAACGCCCATGCTACAAGCCCATCCGTGGGCCAGCGCAGCCACCTGGCTGTAAATCTTTGTTTTCGTTTTTTTTACAGACTAGCTGTGTGAATAGCGATAAACCAGCTTCGTACCAACTACTTGCCAAGCACACAAACCGGTGTTTTGAGGCTCAGTGTTGAGCCATCGTTCTCCGGTAGAAGCCCTGTGGAATATTCCCGAGGGTTTCTGAATACACTTAACATCTCTATAAGACCCTGAAACCCGCAAATCCGTAAAAACGAACAAAAAGTCATTTTACTCGGTGTTTACAGTACTTTCGTCATGTCCTACTTTCTTATATAGTTGCCACCCCTACTTCTGGACTGTGCGTCTTAAACTCCGAACGGCGTGCAGCTAAAACTCGAAATTGATTGGGGGAACCGTTTTCCTCGGTATTTGCAGTACTTGTGCACACGACCCCATTTACAGTACTTTTGGTGATGTTGGTGGTGAAAGGTGATGATATGTGTTTGATTTTTCGTAATGTTGATGATGAATTGTTTTTGCTTTTGGTCATGTTGGTGATGAAATGTGTGTGCGTTGTCGTAAGCACACAACCCAGCCTTTACTCGGTATTTTCAGTACTTTTGGTGATGTTGGTGATGAAGTGTGTTTGCTTTTTTCGTGATGTTGGTGGTGATGATGTTGATGACAATGACGGTAGGTGGGGGTGTGGCTAGTAAAGTAGCAGTAGCAGTAGCAGTCGCAGCAACATTAGCAGCAGTAGCAGCAGTAGTAGTAGTAGTAGTAGTAGTAATAATAGTATTAGTAGTAGTAGTAGTAGTAGTAGCAGCTGTCGTCGTCGTCGTAGTAGTAGCAGTAGTCTTTGCTCCTCGATCTGGCCACTCTGCATCAGTTCCTCGATCTGTCTCCGGAGCCGGCTAACAAGCTCGTCCTTGGCCCGAAAACCGCGTCCAAAAGCTGTGAAGGGGAGCTTCAGGGGGATCAGCCCGTAGAGCCCCTCGTTGTAGCTGTAAAGCAACTTCAGCATTTCCTTGTCGAAAGGGATGCCGGTGAAAAGCTCTGCAAAGAGTGTCACACTCCAGTCCTTTAGCTCCTGCGCCGGCCGGAACTTGCCTCTGGACTCCACAGAATCCAGAAACTCCGAGCAGCGTGCCTGGATTACTGGAAGAAAAAATTCGAAAGCCTCGTCGCATAGAGCAGAGTTGATCAATCCCACACGGCTGGTCTTGTGGACTTCCCCTGCAAGGTTCATAGTGCCGTATTCAGTGTGCAGCTGCGAGAAAGTATCTGGCAAAGCAGACTTTGTAATGTTCTTCTCGGCACTGGTAAAACCGATCACGCCGTCTGCACCACCTACAATGACAGTTTTCCGGCCGAAGTAGTTCATCTGAAACACCGGCCCGTACTCTTTGACTTGCTCGGCGATATATCCATCAGGATCCTTCGCAGATTTGGGTTTAGGGTTTAGGGTGATTTCCGAGACGCCGACCCAGGTTTCCGGGGCTTCGGGGGCTTGGGGTAGAGGATGCAGGGTTTAGGGTTTAGGGGTTAGGGTTGAGGATGAAGGGTTGCAGGTGTAGGGTTCAAATTACCCTAATCACCTAATCCCTCCTTGTACTAACCCTTACAGTCCCATTGTAGCCCCGGCGGAACCGTAAACCCTAGACCCTGAACCCTAAACCCTTTGGGAACCCTAAACCCAGGGCGCCAATCCCCCGCGAGCCTTCACATACTTCAGCAAATCGAGGAAGGCATTGCCGGGCTTTCCCGGAGGAAGCGGCAGCTCCCCGACAGCGCCCTCCGTGGCAGCACCGGCGGCTCGGCGGACGCGGCCGCCTCTTTTGCCGCGGCGGACGGAAAGATTTGCGGCAGCACCGAGAAGTAGACCTGTGGCAAATGAAACATGACTTTAGCAAAATAGCAACACTTCAACACGGGTTCAGCAGGTGCTCTTTCTTTGAGCAGTCTTGCATGGCAGCCTGCTGGAAGCCTCTTCAAGCGTTCTTCCCGAGGCTTTCGTCGAACATCTGGGGCAGGGGAAGCTGCTTGCAGCAAGGGCCGCACATGTCCATGGCAGGATGGCGAAATGGCTGCCATGGCAGCTCCAGATCGCTTGAACACGGTGTCGGATGGGAGTCGATTGCTGACAGCAAGTCACACAGCACCTGGTCAGCAACCACACCCTGAACCCTAAACCCTAAACGCTAGACCCTGAACCCTAGACCGTAAACTCCTGAACCCTAAACCCCTAAACCCCTACACCTTAAACCCTAAACTCCTAAACCATAAACCCCACAAATTTCAACATGCCCACCCCAACTCTGGCATTGGGCCTCGCTAGGCCTCGAGCCCAGCCCAACAGTCGCAAAGACAGGAAAAGTTCGAACAATCACGAAAACGTCGAAAAGCCGACAGAAACGAAGACTACAGAAAAGCTCGAAAAGCCTGGGGGGCGCTGAGGCTCGAAATGTCTAAAAACCTGAAAAAACGCAAAGTGCAAAGCAATATCGAAAAGACAACTTGAAAAGCCGAAAAGTCGAACACTTTTCGACTTGTTGACTTTCGAGATTTGATTCGGTTCTCGGCTTACCGTAAGACAGTACTATGGACATTCTCTGCCAAGAATCCTTGGGACGGTAAAGGATGTGAAGGAGCCGGTTCCAAACAGTATGCTCAAGACAGGGGCACAACGAACCACCTGCTTTCTCATCCACTCCATGTGTACAGCACTGAATGGCACCTGCACGTAACAACATGTCACGATCCCAACATATTGACTGACGTAATCCCGGTGTCATCCTAAACCCTAAACCCTGAAAAATTAAGGATGGAGACCCCTGTGCTGCCAGACGACAGTTTGGGCGAAGTCATCAGTGCAAACCAAACATCAGGTCGTCCAGCCCTAAACACTAACTACACTAATGTAGGGGCCTTCATCATTGGAGTAGGGTTCTGGGGTATATTTTACTAACTTGTCATAAGCAACCCCCAAAATAATACAGGTAATCCCTAAACCCTAAACCCTAAACGCTAAACCCTAAACCCTAAACCCTGAATCCTAAACCCGAAACCCTAAACCCTAAACTCATATCCGGAGAGCCGAAGAAGCTGAAGCCTTAAGCATCCTTGCTCGGAGAGCACTCTGTGCGCATCAACGCATGCTGTAGGGGCCCTTAATGATTAGAATATGCTTTGGGGTTTTTAATATACTACTATAGATACAAGGAACCCCCAAAATAGTATAGATAATTTATTCGGCCCCTCCAGTACCAGAGCTTTTTCCAGCCGGCCAGGCGTAGAAAGGATGGAAAACAGATTGGGTCCGTCCTCTTCAGCAGCATGCAGACTAAAGCACCACGCACCACCGTTAAGCTTCCTGCACCTGCCCTTCGCCTTCTCTCCCATCGCCTTGAATGTCTCGCCACTTTAGAGTTTAAAATTGAATGCACATGTTCTTTCCACTGCGCGGACAGCTAAAGAGGCCCGATGAATTGTGTCGCCAAGCCCTGGCACCCTAGCAGCCAGGGGTTGCGAGTCACGGGCTTTGGCTTTTGGCTTCGTAAAATTGGAGTTCAAGGGTTTTGGCTTTTTTAGTTTAGGGTTCAGGGCGAATAAGGTTAGGGTGATTGTTTATTGAGCCTCGGATAGTTTGATTTCAGCCGCTGTCGACCCTCGCGCAAGGTCTTGTGCCGAGTAGCGACCTAGCCCATGCACAAGCAGGCACAACACTCAAATTTGGAGGCTAGTGCACTCCCTCGTGGTCCTGACATGTTGTCTTCAGACAACTGCCGCTGCAAAGGTGACACAAGATGCTTGAAGGGGCTCAGAGCGCTTTGGGAATTGGCCTGGACGTCTTTTGCGACATTTCAGGCAGGGTGCGGGACTCGAAGGGGCTAGAAGGGCTTACGGCTTACGAAGCAAAGCCATTGAATGCCTCGCGTGATTCTCCTTCAGCCCTGAGAATGCATATCTCTTTCAAACAACAACCCAAAAGCTCTTGAAGCCACCGAAGCACTGTGTGCCCACAACCCTCGAAAGCATGTGCGTGGAGCCATCGGATACTGGACCCTGCTGCTGTCGCTACACCCACACCACCAGGACCCCCAAGTCTTAGCAACCTCAAATCATAACGCGTTCAGGGTTTAGCGTTTAGGGTTAACCCCAAACCCTAAACCCTAAACCCTAAACCCTAAACCCAAACCCTAAGCCCTTGTGGGTCGAGTCTAGGGGAGATCTGGGGTCCTGTTTGCAGAACCCCGAACAACCCGAAAGCACCCTAGAGCCCCA